CGACTCATGAACTTTTCCATGTGCCCTGGCCAAAGGCGAATATTAACCTCAAAAACTCCCTGAGACACTTTCCACCCCAAATGATTGTCAAGGGGGAAAGCCTGAAAAACATGTTCAACTTCATCCAAGATTAGAGTTCCTAAAGGCCATCCTGGAATCCAATCTAGTGAAACAGAATGGGCTTTTTCTGACTCCCCGATAATTAAGGTCGATCCTTGTATAGATGCTTTTACGCGCTCTTCTTCTCCTTGAATTTGCAACACAAAGCTTGTCTGGCCTGTCTGCTTCGACTGCAAGCAAAGGGCAATTGCTAAGAAGGTTTCTCTTTGATTAGAGGTGGGGATGGGTTTAAAAGCATCTCCAAAATAATCTGCGATAAAGTGTGTTGAAACATGCCCTTTTTGGAAATCTGTATGGTTTAAAATTTCTCTTAAAAAGAGTCTATTTGTATGAACACCTCTAACAATCAATCTTTCCAAACACCTATCCAAATACTCTAAAGCCTGTTTTCGGGATGCTCCGTAAGAAATCACTTTCGCGATCATCGGGTCATAAAACGGGGTCACTTCACTGCCCCCCTCAACCACTGACTCTATAAGGATTCCTTCTTTTTGCTCTGCTTCAAAATGAACAAGTTTCCCAATAGAGGGAAGAAAGCCAACTGTGGGATCTTCTGCATAAAGGCGCGCTTCAATGGAGTGCCCTGAAAAAGTAATGTCAGACTGTGATAAACTGAATGCTTCGTTAGAAGCCAAACGCAACATCCACTCAACAATATCAATCCTTGTTATTTTCTCGGTAACCGTATGCTCTACTTGAAGCCGTGTATTCATTTCGAGGAAGTAAAAATTTTCTTCCCCATCAACAACAAATTCTACAGTTCCTGCCGACCCATAACGCACATGCTGCCCCAGTTGAACAGCCGCAGATAAAAGTTTTTCCCTAAGAGAATCTGAAATAGAAGGACTGGGAGTTTCTTCTAAAATCTTTTGATGACGGCGTTGAACAGAACATTCCCTTTCTCCCAAATGAACAACTTTTCCCTGACCATCCCCTAAAATCTGCACTTCTAAGTGCCGAGGATTTTCAATGTATTTTTCTACGTAAACGCGCCCATCTCCAAAGCTCGCCTGTGCCTCTCGAACTGTGCTTTTATAAGCGGCTTCTAAATCGTCAGAATGGTTGACTCGACGCATCCCCTTTCCACCACCACCAGAAATTGCTTTTAGCAAAATGGGAAAGCCATACTCTCCTGCGAACTGTTTAACCTCTTCTAAAGAGAGGGACTTATCAACGCCTGGAATACAAGGAACCTGTGCATTATTTGCACACAAGCGAGCCTGAACCTTATCACCCATTTGACGAATCACTTCTGGGGCAGGCCCAACAAAAAAAAATCCTGCGGCTTGAATAGCCTCTGCAAAATCAGCATTTTCTGCTAAAAATCCATACCCTGGATGGATCGCCTCCACCTTTGTTTTTTTAGCAGCGTCTATAATTGCGAAAATATTTAGATAACTTTCCGTTGGAAGGGCGTCCCCAATAAGAACCGACTTATCCGCTTGACGCACATGCAATACATCAGCATCTGCTTTAGAATAAACTGCCACCGTCCGAATTCCCATACGCTTACATGTGCGTATAATGCGGCACGCAATTTCCCCTCTATTGGCGACAAGCAAAGATGAAAGATTGTGCTTTAAAACTACTTTTTCTTGGGCGCTTCTTTTTTAGTGGGTGCTTTTTCACCCTTCTTTTTAGAAACATCCCCCTTCATCATTTTAGCAACTTGCGCGTCTTCCCAGTCTTTATTGAGGAAAGGAAAAATTTCTGCGGCAACAGGCATTAACCCTAAGGAAAAAGCCTGAAGACCCAAACCGATTCCCCAACCAATAATCACAAAAATCGGCCAAAAGTATCCACCCCCAGAAATTCCCCAAACAAGAACGAGAGCAAGGTTCACAAGTGCGTAAATTGTAAGGTCTGTATAAAATCGCTTTAATTGACTAACGCGTTCTCTTGCCTGTGTTTCTGTCATTTTTGTCATTTGATTTTCCCCCAACGAATCCTTTACAGAGGTATATTGTCGTGTTTTTTCCAAGGATTTTCAAGAACCTTTGAACGAAGTCGCTTTAAAGCCTGGCAAATAGACCGTCGCGTCTGATGCGGTTCTATGACTTGATCCACAAAACCGCGCGATGCTGCCATATAAGGATTTGCAAACGTTTCTTTATATTCTTTCTCTTTTTCTAAAAGCGATTCTGCATTTGTATCCTCTTTTCGAAAGATAATTTCAACAGCCCCTTTAGGGCCCATAACAGCAATTTCTGCACTTGGCCAAGCCAAATTAAAGTCTCCCCGTAAATGTTTAGAACTCATAACATCGTAAGCCCCTCCGTACGCTTTACGGGTAATAATTGTGACTTTTGGAACTGTTGCCTCTGCATACGCAAATAACAACTTAGCTCCATGACGAATGATGCCCCCATGTTCTTGATTAACTCCAGGTAAAAAACCTGGTACATCAACAAAGGTCACGACAGGAAGGTGAAACGCATCACAAAAACGAACAAATCTTGCGGCTTTCGTGGAAGCTTGGACGTCTAAACAGCCTGCTAAATGAGCAGGCTGATTCGCGACAATTCCAACGCTTTGCCCTCCAAATCGCGCAAAGCCTATAATAATATTTTGTGCATAGTCAGGTTTAATTTCTAAAAAGTGATTTTCATCAACAACAGTCCGCAAGATTTCTTTCATGTCATAAGGCTGTGCTGAATCTGAAGGAATCCAATGATCTAAAGAGGGCACAAGCGATTTTCATCATCTTTGCTCTCTTGAATCAGCGCCTTCTCTCGATTGGAGCCTGGAAGATACGATATGAGATTACGTACGCAATTCAGAGCATCTATATCATTATCAAAGCGATAATCTGCAACGCCTGATTTTTCATTATGGACTCTTGCGCCTCCAAGTTCTTCCGCACTGACTTCTTCATGAGTCACCGTTTTTACAACATCTGGTCCTGTGACAAACATATAAGAAGTTCCATCAACCATAGTGGTAAAA